CATTGCTCTCCCTTCTGCCAAGAAAGAGAGATGAGCAGTAGACAAGGGTTTTTGTTCTGTGCACCTCTGTAGTTCTAAATGAGGGCATGAATTAGCATGAACCCCAACAGATCTCCATGCAATTCCAGAGCAAGCATCGTAGTCCCAGACGTTCAGAATCTATGTTACTTAAAGCAAAGCTTTACCGAGAAAAACGTGTAGGCTCTCATTGTTAACTTGTTTGAAAATGCTAGTTGCTTGGCTGTTTTGCTGCCCCTCTTTCTCCATTACTAGTGACCCAAACAGGTATGCTGGGGGGGAGAAAAAAAAAGAGTTGACTTTACGGTGACTTTCATGTTATGGATACTTGGCAGGGATGCACAGATACCAAGTATTTGGGCAAGTACTCGCATGGAGCTGGATTCATTTCCGAAAACGGAAGTCGGGAGGGGGGTTATGACCTGCCTCCCAGCTTCCTGATTGGCTAGGAAGCCAGCTTCATGTGTTGCTAAGCAGCCTGGCTTCCTAACCAATCAGGAAGGCTGGCGGCACATAATGACCCGTCTCCCTGATTGGTCAGGAAGCCAGGCTGCCTAGGAACAAGTGAAGCCAGATTCCTAGCCAATGAGGAAGCGGATCATGATGTGCCCCCTGGCTTCCTGATTGGCTAGGAATCCGGCTTCACTTGTTCCTAGGTAGTCTGGCTTCCTGACCAATCAGGAAGCGGATCATGATGTGCCGCCCGGTCAGGAAGCCAGGCAGCCACTAAAGCCGGTGTTCTTTCACTAGAACACCGGCTTCATAGACAATCAGGAAGCCAGGCAATGGGTCATGATCCACTGCCTGACTTCCTGATAATCGTGGTATAAGGCACCGGTACTCTGTATCAGCGAGTACCGGAAAAAACCCAACCATCGGTACTCATACTCAATACCGAAAAACCGGTATCGATGCATCCCTAATACTTGATATAGGCTAGTGACTCAAAGGGGTTGATTTACTAACCTTATAAACACACCACGAACATGTATACACCTCTGTAGTGTGTTCCCTCCCAGCATGATCTATGGGTGGAATCTAAACACCTTTGTAGTGTGTACACACCCAGCCGGTGTGTTGTGCAAAGCCAAGCATGAATTTGCAAGGTGATGTTGTGTAAATTAGCTCTATGTTGTGTTGCTTGCGTTGATGAATGCAGGAATGTAAATGCATGCGCTAACCATTTTTGTCTAAACTGTGAAGCAGCATTATATATGCATCATGTGCATGATTTTTCCATATATGGCATTAGTGAAAATATGCTTTTAGAGACTTTTTGGTCGATAAATAAGTTTTGCTGTGTAAAAATCACACTTACCTTAAATGTCTCTTAATCCGATCTTCTTTCCTGTCGTTTTCATCTGTCCCTCCAGTTCTGCTCTGGGTCTCCGATCCAGCGCTGATTCCTCTGTCCTTGCTGGCACTTCTTGTCCCACGGTGTCTGCATGCCGGTGCACGCCGTCCATATACTTACCTTGTGTCTCTCCTCGTCTCCCGGCCGAAAATCTGAACTGCGCATGCGCCCGCCCGTGAATTTTCAGATTTACGGACGGGAGCGCGCGGTGATGACAGGGATAAGTTTAAACTGCTTTTAAAGTGTTTTTTTAAAAAAAAGTTTATGCAAATATCTAATGCTTGCTAGCAGTAGATATATGCACAAAAAACAGTGTTTAATAACCCTTCAAAAGCCAGTTCTATTCTGTGCATTTAGGACCTGGTTCACTATATGGCTCATTTATCTGTTTATACACAAGTTAGACAACTAGCATTTTCAGAAGAAAATTGGCGGTGGCAACCCTTATATGTAGGGAGCATCAGCTAAACGATGTTAAGAGCATTAGGCCTTGTTCACATGGGCAGTGAAACCGCATGGCTGATGTGCAGTTTTACCGCCACCCGCTGTAGTGGTAGCACTGTGGCCAAACAGTGCTGTATACGTTGCTGCGGCCGTAATGCTTTGCATCTAGGCAGAAAAAATACTGCATGTCGTGTTTGACAGGCGCTGCCAGGCAGCCACTCCTTCACCGTCCTCTGAAAAGCAGTACTCTGTGGATCTATACACCAAAGTAACTTTTACTTATTTCCACTAGCCTTCTCTGCAGCAAACCACACATAGTGGACTTCCGCTGGCAGGCAGTCAGCACACCAGACATTCCGGCAGAACAGTTCCACTTCCCTAATTGAGAAACCATGCGAGGCCTAGGCTTTGGTCAGATGATCCACTGTACTGTTAGAATACAATATAATCGTCGTACTAAGGTATTAGGCTAAATCTGCAGTTAGCTTTAGAATTCACTGAGCAAGTCTTGCATACTACAGAGAAACAAAAATTGCCAGCTAGTGTTATATTAAACATCTGGAGTAGAGCTACTGCTGTAGTCCCAAATTTGGATATTTCAGGTATCAAAACTTTGTACTACACAGACTCCCAGTGTAAGGCCAGAGCACCATTGCCTGCAGTAGATATATTTCACCCTATGTTTTAATGTTTAACAGAGCAGTATTGTAGAATTCTATGGAGTTTAATACACAAATGCACACTTTGTTAATAAAAAAAA